CACCAGGGAAGCCCTCAATTGGTTTTTTTGGAAGGGAAATAAACTAGTGCCATCCATAAAATTCTCCTTGGGAAACTAAAAAAAAAAAGGAATTTACTCTTAAAAAAAGTGGGATGAGGTAGGATTCCCTCCTTTTTAAGAAATGTTTCTGGAGCTACTAAAAAACTTGCACTTACAAAATAGTTGATAAAAATATTCCTTTGGATTGTACAAGAAGTGAGACAGGGACCACTGATAGGACTGGGTGTGTGTGATATTAATCAGACTTGGCTTCTTCCTCTCCTCCTTCATCAGAGGGCAGGCTGTCCTCGTTTTTAGTTTCTCCGTTTTCTGCAGGTAAGTCTCCTTTAGTCTCTTGGTTAGCCCCTTCAGCCTGTTTTCCCTTTGCTCCCCTTTTCCCTTTTGTTTGCACTTTTTTTGGCTGAAGATAAGTTCTTTCCAGCCACTTTTTTGACTTCGTTTCCACTTTTGCAGGAGGCGTTTTAGCTGACAACCTCGCCGATCTCCTCTCGGGCTCCTGCTTCACCACTGCCTCAGGGGAGCTGACCTTCCTCTTGGGCATCATGGCTGCAGGGCCAGCGCGTGCCGGGTGCCTGCGGGCTGTGGTGCAGGGGGAGCCTCTGCAAAGCTGGGCTGCCTGGCCGCTGCCAGGGTACTCTCTTAAACAGCACACATGTATGGTCTCCCGGCGTGGAGGCCAGAATTGGAGATCAGGGTGTGGGCAGGGCTGGTCCCTTCCCAGGGCGGCGAGGGAGAATCCATCCCCTCTTCCGGCTCCTGGCGTTTGTTTGCTGGCGTCTCTGGGGTTCCTCAGCTCGTACAGGCATCACCCCGATCTCTGCCTTCACCCTCACAACATCTTCCCTCTGCTCTTGCCTCTGTGTCCAGAGTTTCCTTTTTTTTTTTTTTGATAAAGACACCGCCATATGTCTTTGGATTAGGGCGCACCCCACTGGCCTCATTTTAACATGATCACATCTGTAAGGACATCATTTCCAACTAAGGTCACATTCAGAGGTATTGGGAGTTAGGACTTCAACATATCTTTGTGGGGGGACACAATTCAACCCGCCAGAGGGGCAGCTCAAAGCTGCAAGACGAGTCCAGCCCCTCCTTCGTGCACCCGCGTGGCCGCGCCGCCGTTCCCCTTGTCCTGTGACATCTGACCTCTTGGTTCCTGAGGAACCAGGAGAGTCCAATTTGAGAATCCCACCTCACTTGACACCTGACGAGCTCACTGTGCACAGAGGCCCCACTCGTGTCCGGAATCACGGCAATTATGGGAGGAAGGTGCAGGCCTACATGTGGGATGGCCCAGAAAGTGCTGGCTCAGCCTCCGTGGTGTGAACGCGGGCCCCTCAGGAGCAAGGACACTGGGGCCGTCCTGGGGAGGGGGTTGAGGGGATGCCCAGAGAAGGCACCATCCCCAAGAGAAGGAAGCTCTTGCCACAGTAGGGTACCGGTGGGGAGCTCTTTGGGAACGAAGAAATAATCCAAGGAGTGCCATCAGGGCATCCTTCCTGTTGGAAGGCACATATCTAGAAACTTCCATCACTGTGATGTCACATGATCATGAGGGTGTGAAGTGCAGAAGGAATTCTTAGAGTACCCACTACTCCAGCACTTTCTCACCATGCTTGCTTTCAAACCAAACCTCCCTGCCAGGCCTGTTTATTTTCACCTGTATCCAAGCCAGGCCATTTTATGTCACCTCCTGGCCTTTCCGACACCCTCCCGGACACCCCCAGGGTGTCACCTGCGCTGTCCACCAGGCAGGGGAGAAAGGCTTCGCTGGTTGCTCTTGTTTCATGGGATGACTTTGAGGGTGGTGACTCTCCGTGTCTTAGTCACATGGATGATAGATGTGTCACGGTGACAGAGGAGCTCACCTGAGATCTGGAGGCTCTCAGAGGATTTAGAATTGTCGTTTTGTTACAAACATGTTCTAAACAAGCTCTCCAAAGTAGAGACCTGGATGTCTTTAACCGATTCTCTCCTTCCGGGTCTGCGCTGTGGCCTGACCGGCGTGGACACCCACAGCGCCAGCAGTCAGCCTGTTTTCTGCTTGGTGTCACTTGGTGCACATGCGGCCACGTGTCCTGCTCGTGTTGTCCATGGCGACACTGCTGTCCTGTCAGGAACCCCGAAGACGCCCTGCTCATCCTTCTGATGGACGATTTAGTGTCCCTGTGGGTTGTGGGTTCTGATTTCCACGTGTGTCAACATCCCTGTACTTCACTTTTCTTGGGTTGGGGTGAAGTGGAACCTTCTCTATGTCTTTTAACTCTTTGTGCTATGCAGAGTCCATCAAGGCCTTTGTCCATTGTCCATAAGGAGATGGTTATATTTTCTTAAAACTTGAATGAACAGGTAAAGGGTACAGGTCTTGAATAAACTGGGGCAAGAGATTTAAGAGCTGAGGCAAGTTTGCAATCTGGCCATTTCCTGTTTAAAGGTCCTCTTCGGGTTTTGCTCTGTCCCCTCTTCCCTGGATGGAGCTGAGCTGGGGTGGGGGCGGAGCCCCCTGGGAGGTGCCTTCAATTCCTGGTCCCTCCTGCCTGGCCTCCACTGTTCTGCTCCTACGGACCCCATCAGCCTGCTCGTGACTGGGGGATAAGTAGGGTGCCGGATGCTGACATCATCAGTCTGACTGCTGCCCATTTGACTCCAGAGCTAGTGGTCCACTGAGACTGCAGGCTCATCCTCCCCGCTGTCTTGAGGGTTTGTTCACAAGGTGCCTTTTTTGCTCTGTGCCTTCTCACTCAGGCCTTGAAATCTTGAGTAGAACGAGTGATGTCTGAACCGACCCTGCACCGCCCTCGGGGCCCACAGGAACTCGTACGCAGACCAGTATGCAGGCAGGCCTCCTCTGGGTGGGCACCTCCCTCCAATGGTGCTAGTCCTGGACTCTCAGATCCCGACCCAACAGGGTTTCTGCAGCTCCCCACGTACATTTAACCTGCACAGGCAGGGGGGTGGGCATGGGAGGAGCCCAGGGCCTGCTCAGGGTCCGAACCTTCTGCCCCCACGCCCGTCTCCCTTGCCGGCTTTGGGGAGGGTGGGCCCCGGGGTAGGAAGGGACACAGAGCGTGCAGATGACACCCGCTTTCAGATCCTGTGGTCTTTCAGCTGCTTGAACTCGGATTTGAGACTATGTCTTTGAGGAGGACACAGTGTTTTATTGATGATAGCAGCTAACCTTTGTCACATGGGATTCAAGCTGCCAACCCGCAGAGGAGGCACCCAGGGCCCGCAGTCCACCCTGGTCGAGGGGTCTGTGGGATGGACGGCAGGTTCAAATCCCTCTAGGCAACCACTGAGTGTCAAGCGATGGGGAGAGGGGAGGTCCTGGTGCCAGCAGAGGGGCAGGGGCTCCCGAGAGACAGCAGCTTGTGGGGGGCAGACGATCCAGCCGGTCAGCAGCAGGACGTGCCCGAGGCGGGGACGCAGCAGGCGGGGCAGCAGGTGGGGCGGCAGAGCAGGGACACGGAGGAGGAGGGTCTGCGGCAGGACGAGCGGCAGGGGGTGGGCTGGCAGCACGAGGGGGCTGAGCAGGGGGCGCCTCACAGCACACGGGCTCGCAGCAAGCAGGTGTGCGGCAGACGGGCACACGGCAGGCCTGCTGGCAGGGGGAGCAGGTGCGGCAGGGGGGCTGGCAGCTAGACTGTCGGCGGCACGAGGCCGTGCAGGGGCCGGTGCAGGCTGGTTGGCAGCAGGGTCTGGACACGCAGCTCACTGGAGCGCAGACGAGGGTCAGGCAGGGGGCCGGGGCGCAGCCGCTGGGGGCGCGGCAGGGGGGATCGCAGCAGCTCTCTGGGCAGTCGTCCACCTGCCAGCAGGAGCTGGTGCAGGAACCGGGCAGGCAGAGCCGCTGCCGTAGCTCTAGGCGCTGGAGCACACGGACAGGGTGGACGCGGCCATGGTGTGGCAGGGGGGCTGAAGGAGGGTGTGAGTGTGTGTGAGGTGCTGGGGATATCCGCTTTTATCCCCCCCCCCACCCCAGGGTGTGCGCGTGGCCCCAGCAGGAGGCTCCCACGCCTGCCCTTCCTTGTTGATGTTTGGAGCTGTTGCACGAGCCCCTCATTAGGGCTGCTGTGTTTTCTACAATCAGCTTTTACTCATTAAACTTGTGAGTATGTTGCAAGAATCTGTTTTCTCATCTGTTCTTTGGCTCCAGAAAGCTTGTAGGGAGTATACGACGCAAGTTTCTGCTGAGTGGCTGTCTCGGTTCTTAAGTCACATCCAGGTATGGGCTGGGCGTGAGATAAACTCGCAGCCACTGGCAGCCCCTCCCTCACACCAGCTATGCCAGTGTGAGAATACAACAGGGAAAGATGCCCAGCACTACTGCAGCCCAAACTATAAAGCACCTAAGAGGAATGTTAGGAAATTAAGTTGTGAACAAAACAGTAAGCTTTACCGAAGAACACACACAGCCTGTGTCCACTGGGTCCCGAGAGAGCTGTGGGCAATAAACTTGAGACTGTAGAATCTCCACTCTCCCTGGATGGATCCATCGCTGATGTGATTTCAATCAGAGCCCAAAAGGAATCTTTTTGGTATACAAAGTGAAGATATTGAACCACCAGAAAACACTTGCAATATAAAATTTTAAAGTCTTTACAAATAAAACAGAAGTAGATGTGATGGCTATATGATAATGCTGTGTAAAACTTTTGAGGAACTGCTAGGCTATTTTCCATAACAGCTGTACCAGTTTACATTTCTACTGGTAATGTACAAGGATTCCAGTTTCTTCACATGCTCATTGATATTTCTTTTCTGTTTGTTTGTTTGTTATTCGTTTGTTTTAAATTATAGCCACCCTAGTGGGCATGAAGTGACATCTCCCTAATGACCAGGGATACTGGGCTTCCTTTCTTGTGCCTGTTGGTATAGCCTCTTTCGAGAAATGTCAGTGAAAGTGCTTTGCCCATTTTAAATTGGATTGTTTGTCTTTCTGTTGTTGAGTTATAGGAGTTTTTAATGTATTCTGGTTACTAGGCCCTTATCAGAATTATGATTTGCAAATATTTCCCCTCAGTCTATGGGCCGTCTTTTCACTCTCTTGATAGTGTCATTTGATACATAGACTTTTTATTAGTAGTATTTTTAAAATTTATTTATTTATTGCGTTGACCAAAAAGCTTGTTCAGGTTTTTCTGTAAGATGGTATAGCACCGCCCGTATGAACTTTTTGGCCAGCCCGATATTTTTTGGCTGTGCCCCGCGGCAGGTGAGGTGTTAGTTCCCTGAACAGGGCTCGAACCCACACCCCCTGCATTGGAAGCATGGAGTCCTAACCACTGGACCGCCAGGGAAGTCTCATAGACTTTTTAAATTTTATGAAATCCATACATTGCATGCTCGGTTAAGCTGCTCCAGCAAACATAGCACATCTGTCACAGCAGCTGCAACTGGGGCTGCTCCCTGGTTGAGCCTGCAGCTGTCCACTGCCACTTCCCAGGATCCGACTGGTTTTTGCAGGCTCTCGACTGGCGAATGGAGATATTCCAAGAACCGCTCCCACATCCTTTAATCTTTAAAGCAGCACTAATTACTGCCACTGCTCCCAGGTTGCAATGCTGATCTTGAATCACTATCCTGACTTGGGGTGGGGGAGGGTGGGGGAAAGCATTTTCAGAAGCTTACCTTTCTTAATATGATAATTCCTTCCAAAGCCTGGAAATGAATGTTGGAGTTGTTTTAAACACCGAGGACATACATTCCAATTATACCTCCAGGGACACAGGAGTGGCCAATGGGTTGGTTTGTGGGCCCAGTGGACCCGCTCTGAGCTGGATGTTGCCAGGACTCCACTAAGGACCTCCCTTCCCTCTCTCTCATGTCGACGGCCCATAATGATGTTTCAGGAGTGAACTCTGCGCTCAACCATCCTTCCCCTTCCCCAGTATTGCTGAATGAGCAAATGCTGGTGAGGGGGAAGGACTGGGATAATTATTACTACGTGCACTTGTCTTGATCGAAAGATTCTCCCTTCTGGGGTGGGAGCATTTACATCAAGGAAATTGGGAAACACAGCAAATCACGACCTTTTTTTGGAAGGCTAGTTTCCCAACATCTCACTCGCCTACTCTTCAAAAACCTGTAGAAACAAAACAAAATACCCCCCGCCCCCCAAATAACAGAAATCTAAGCTGGTTGGTCAAGAAGGGGAGGACAATGACCCCAGTAGAAAGTTTGGTCCCTCTCCCAGCTCCTGGATCTGAGCCAGTCCTCAGACAGGCATACCTTGATCATGTCCGGTACAAAGTTACCAGTAGTTTAACAACCAGCTTGCAACATTCCTGAATATTTAATACTTGCCTCTTGCAATGTGGTACAAGTCAGCTCCAGGCGGCTCCAGCGTGATTGCTGCCACTAAGCTAATTGGCTGCCCATCACATTCCCCATGGGAATCTGTGTTCTAAGAACCACCTTCAATAACTCCCCGCAAGATGCCTTCACAGAGGTCTGTCTTTCATTCCAGTCCCTTCCACCTGTTTTTTTAATTCCCCCTGTGGGTAATGGTTTATTGAGTTTTGATTTATTTTTCCATTAAAAAAATAATGTAACCAAAAATCTGTTTGTTTATTCTCCTTTCTTACAAAAAGGTAGCATGTTATACACCCTGGTCTGCACTTTGATTTTTCCCTTAGTGATACATCCTGGAGAGCACACTGTAGCAGGGTTTCAAGACCTTCCTTACTCCCCTTTACAGCTGCATAGCACTTCATATATGAAAGTAACACAGTTTATTGATGGAGAATTGTTTTTCCTCCTGTATTTTGCTATTCTGAGTAACACCGCAATGAATAGATATCATTTATAATTTTGCCAGTGTATCTTTGGGATACCTTTCTAGCATTTTATTATTTATTGTTTATCACTGGATCAACATGAAATTTTGCTAGACCCTGTCAAATTGCCCTCTGTATTGGGTAGTTCCATTTTGCACTCCCACGAGTAGTGTGTGAGAATGCCTATTTTGTACAGTTTTTCCAACCACATGTGTCATCAAGCTTTCGACTTTTTGTCATTCCGATAGCTACGAAATAGTATCTTTTGTGGTTTTTAAAATATTACCTTTCTCTTAATATGAGTTTGAGAATCTTTTTCAAGGCCATTTGCATTTCATTTTCTGTGAGTTGCTGTTCATATCTCCAACCCGTTTAAAATATTGATGTCTTGGTGTTTTTCTTCCCTGATTTTTGGCAGCTCTTATATTAGTGATATAGCACGTGTTCTGTGGTACAAGTTGTAAATATTTTTTCTGACTTGTTTTTTGTCTTATACTTTCCTTATGGTATTATTTTATCACTCTACCATCTATCTATTTATCTTCTATGTATCTATCTATCATCTATCTATATCTTTCTATTTTAATGTAGAACAAAGGGAAAAAAAGATAGTGGAAAAATTCCACAGCTCACTGATGGTCCTGTTTTTCCCATTTTAATTCAAGTTTCTTTACTGTGCAATCAAATCCTTTGCTCAGCAGTTGGCTGTAGCAAAAAAAAGTGAAAAAAAATTGCTCATTGAAAGGATAAGTGATTTATTCAGAGTCAGAGAGCCTGTTTCTAGCCCCCAGTAGTGTCGCCTTAGAGACCTCAGTCGTCTTCTGTACAAGGGGAATGATGCCTGTTGGGCCGACCCCACTGGAGCCGTGCCCAGGTGCTCTCCAGCCCCATTCCCCACACCTGCGAACCTCCTGGCTTCCTTGTGGGTTTGCTTGGAACAGCCGTCATCCGCAGGTCTCCTTGGAGGATTGCCTAAGGAGCCACTTTGCCACACATCTTAGTGAGTCCGCAGTGCCTGGGGATTTGTATCCACCCAGGCTCCCAGACCAGGCTGACAGGGGCGCACCCAGCTTCTTTCTCTGAGATGTGTCGTATGCTCAGTGCCCCTGTGAGATCAGGTTGGGGCTTGACCTTCTTCTGGCCCCTGAGCTGGTTGTCCCAGCCCTTTACCAGGCTCTCCTGGGAGTAATTCCTGAATACACGATGTGTGCTCCTGGGGAAACTGCCTCACCTGTGGGGTGTGATGGGTGAGATGTGATAGTGTGTGAAGAACCCCATGCACAGGTGAGTGGTCATCCTCACCATCACACCTGCGCTGCAGTCAGTCTGACTGGCTCCCCAGCACCCGCTGCCCCTGCCTATGCCCCCCCGACCCTGACCCCACCCTGACCTTCTCCCTATGCCTTTGCTCCAAGGATTTTCCATGATGTCACTTCCTGGCCTCTCCTTGCAGCTAGAGCGTCACTCTTCAGGGCCCAAATAATGTCACCTTCTTTTCAAATCCTTCCTTGATCTGGCTCAGCACCAGCTGGAACTTCTCCCCTCTGAATTCCCATGGTGTGTGTCACCTATACCAAACTGCATAGTTCGTAATTACTGTGTCAGTTTTTAAATTTATTTCAGGTATATATATGATGGCACACATTAAGTCAAGATAAATAACTATACTTCCTTGACTCAAGACCACATTTTAACATCTCTGAAATGGGAAGACATCTTCCAAATGATGGCATATCATAGTTTATTTGGTAGCCGTTATTTTTGCTTAGATGTACATAAAATAATGGAGCATCTTATGTGGATGACATCTTGAGAAAATATGGCCTGTCTAGGATGTGTGTGTGTGTGTGTGTGTGTGTGTGTGTGTGTGTGTTCTTTAGTACTTTGCCCCAAATGGGCCCACTGTGAACATCAAACACCTTGTGATATGAAATTATCTGAAAGCCCCAAGCTAAATGAAGATGCCTAAATTATTATAGCCTTATAGATCTCTTTTTGAGTTTCAAAAGCAAAAAAAAGAGCCTTTTCTTCAAAGCCAAATGCATGCCCTTATTTCAAATAAAAAAGGAATTGCTCAATTGAACAAGCGTTGAGCACCTACTGTATGCAAGCCCCGTGTCT